TTATATGGAGACCTGCTTCAGCCTGTAGAGCAGCGGTTCTCAACGTGGGGGTCAAATGGCGATTTGCCACGGGTCGCCCGGGAGTCTGGCGCTATTAGATATCGGCTCTGGGCTGCCCGGGAGAGAAACACTTCTAAACCTTTCCCTGCGATAGTTTTTTTTTTTTTCTGACATCGGGGGGCGCCGTATGTAAGAAGAAAAAAAACCACCATACTAATGCATATCTAGATTCCTATTTGCTATTTCACTTTGCAGTAGCCAATAGCAAACTAGCTGTTGCACCCGCCCTCTGCTGCTGCCAATCAGCAGAGGGGAACCTGAAGTTCTCCATCAGGTCCTCTTCTAGTGATTGACAGCAGCAGAGGGCGGGTGCAATAGCTAGTTTGCTATTGGCTATTGCAAAGTGAAATAGCCAATACGAATCTAGCTATGCATTCCTATGGTGTTTTTTTTATTTTTTATTTTATTCTGACGGCGTACGCCAGTGGTTCTCAACCTGTTGGTCGCTGTGTGATTTCTGCTGTGCTAGGTCAGAGTCCTCCTCAGCCCTCTCCTAGCGCAGCAGTGTCAGTTCTCCTGCCACGCCGCCAGATGTCCCTGCAGCAGCCGCGTCATCCCTAAATTTTACCGTTGGGGGTCACCACAACTTGGCAAATGTTACCAAGGGGTCCCGGCCCTAGAAAGGTTGAGAACCACTGTTGTAGAGACTCTGACTAAGCTGTTCGCAGGTTGGTAAAAAAAACTTGGCTAACACCTTTTTGACACAGCTCTTTGAGACAAAAAAGTCAATCTTAGGTTTTTTTTTTTGGGTTTTTTTTTTGGGTGGGGGGAGCAGAGCTTTTTGTTTTAGAGTTGTTTTGAGGGTGGCTGTTGTGCATAGACAAGTACAGTACATTTTTATACCCTTTTTTGGGGGGACGGCAGTACTAGAATAGTAACTGCAGTATTCAGTTCCAGTAAAGCTTTAACTAGAGAGCGGAGGATGCATTCTTGTTACTACAGTGAGGAGTAACAAGCAAACCATGGGTTTTTATTATGGAAATCTCCTTTTTAAGGGTAGTAGCTTAGTTCATGTAGCAGCAAATCACCTTTTTGATTAACACAAAGCAAACCATGTTCTCTTCGAGTTTTTAGTTTCTGCAATGTGGACTAATTTTACTCACTAGTTTTTATACCTGTACTGTTATTGGAATGGATTGCTCCCATTTATTACTGTAGATCCTGCACACGACAGTCACCCTTCTTTGGGTTCAGAAAACGTTTCACGTCTTCTTTAAATAGCCGTTTCCGCCAGCCATCTGTTAGTTTTAGGAACCTAATGCAAATACTGTTTCTTGCCCAGCTGCAAATAGTATTGATTTCTCTGAATGTAAATGATTACATCCTGTCAACGTTTTGCTTATTCCCTGTTTGGTGTGCCAAGACAAAATCTAAGTAAAAAAAAAAAAAAATTTTCTTCCCATATATAATTAGACATTTATCAACTTCAGGCATTGGTGGTTTTTATCACACACTATGCTTTAAACTCCAGTGAGAGATAAGACTGGCCATAAACGTGTCCCATTTCAGCTATTTCCATCCACTGGGAATCAATTCAGTTGCCATATGTCTGGTCAGCTTGGCGTGAACCTGTGCCCAGAATATGCATACTGTACAGTGGATTGCAAAAGCATTCACCCCCCCCAGCATGTTTCCTATTTTGTTGCATTACCACCTGGAATTAGAATGAAAAAAAGCCATTGCTTACAGGAAAAAAAAAATAAGCAAACAGGTTTGCTGGCTCCCCAAACATATGGAAGAAGGTACTCTGGTCAGATGAGACTAAAATTTAGTTTTTTGGCCTTCAAGGAATATGCTATGTTTGGCACAAACCCAAAACCTCATCACCCCAAGAATACCATCCCCACAGTGAAGCATGGTGGTGGCAGCATCATGCGGTGGGGATGTTTTCCATCGGCAGGGACTAGTAAACTGGTCAGAATTGACAAAATGATGGATGGCGCTAAATACAGGGAAATTCTTGAGGGAAACCTGTTTCAGTCTGCCAGAGATTTGAGACTGGGACAGAGGTTCACCTTCCATCAAGGAGAATGACCCTAAGCATACTGCAAAGCAACACGCCAGTGGTTTAAGGGGAAACATTTAAATGTCTTGGAATGGCTTAGTCAAAGCCCAAACCTGAATCCAATTGAGAATATGTGGCATGACTTAAAGATTGCTGTACAGAAGCAAAACCCATCCAACTTGAAGGAGCTTATAGCAGTTTTCCCATTTAAAATGGGGAAAAAAACTCCCGGTGGCCTGATGTGCTAAGCTTATATAGACGTACCCCAAGAGACCTGCAGCTGAAATTGCTGCAAAAGGTGGCTCTACATAATATTGACTTTGGATTGGTGAATAGTTATGCATGTTCAAGTTTTGGGGGGATTGTTTTGTTTTTTTTGTCTTTTAAAAATATTTAGCAAAAAGTTCAGGTGGTAATGCAACATAATAGGAAAAATGCCGGGGGGGGGTGTGTGAATACTTTTGCAAGCCACTGTATGCAGAGGGCACTTTGATCAAACTGTAGGATGGTAATGGTGGCAAGAGTACCCTTCTTCCGTAGTGGGATTAGCCTACGCTACAGACTGGGAAAGCCTTGCTGATGGTTATGAAAAGTCCTTTCTGTTCTACCACTCCTGCAACATCCACATCCATTCCCTGCAAACTTGGCTCCCAGTGCATCTGCAATGTCTGGGGTTTAAAGTGCATCAAACCCTCAGACAAACCACTTTCAGCATGGAGGTGCAGCCAACTTTTTCAAGGTAGGGGGACATTTGTTAATGCACACTTGGACAGATGGCATCTTAAGTGCAGGAGGTGGTGTCCAGGGGCTACAAGGTGGCGTTTCACTCCCTGTCCTCTTCTTTTTTTTTTTTTCATCTCCAACCTTTGTGTGACTGCACAGATTAGCAGATCTCCATCAAGCCCTCTTGGGTCTTCTAGAACAAGGTGTCATTGCCCCTGTTCTTGTGGCAGAACAGTTTCAGAGGATTTATTTCCACCCATTTACATTTTGGATCTTATTGCACTGAACGTGTACATTCTGGCTCAGAATTTCTCCATGGAATCCACCAGGTCTGTCATCGCCTCCCGATCCCAGACTTGTGCTGTCCAGATCAGGAGTTGTCCCATTTGCGCAGTTTGCTCCAGACCCCTACAATGCAACGTTCGACCAGGGACCAGGTTGTCGATAGGTGGTAAAAAATATTCTACTGGGCCTCTGCTTTCAGAAAATATATGTTTGGGGGATTTACATGATTTTTCTGGGCAAACATTAATATTTTTTTTTGCATAGTAGTTTTAACATTCTGAAGTAGTTAAACCTGAATTCGAGCGAAAAGTTAAATACGCTCTGAAATACATGTGTGTAAACGATTTATTTTGTAAAGGGATTTGTAGTTGTCTTCAGCAACTCCCTGCCAGACATCAGGTTTGCCTTTTGTGAGAGAACTGTAGGGAGCTTAGCTCCTTCTGAAAATCCTTATTGCCTCGTTATGCTGACCCACTTGCTTTGAAACTTAAGGTGCCCATACACTGCACGATTATCGTACGATAATCGTATGCGATCGGTTTTTCGTACGATAATCGAGCAGTGTGAACGGAGACGTGCGACCGTTTCTACTGTACGGTCGCACGTCTTCTGTCGAACCAGCATGTTCGAAAACCAGCCGGGAATCGTACGATTCTCGGCTGGTTAGAACGGTGCTCGGAAGATAAATGCTGAACGGGCCGGTGTGCGCACACTGCCCGTTCAGCATTGCGGTCATCGGAAGCCCGCCCCTCAGGGGGGCGGGCTTGCGATGATCGAGAGTGCGATCTGCCTGTCCAAGATAGGCAGATCGTACGTTTTTTTAATCCCTTTACAACCATTGCAAGACTAAAGTCTTGCGATGGTTGTAGAGTGTATGGCCACCTTTAACCTGGAACAAGTATGCATACAGAAAGTCAGCGAAATGCTGGAAAATTTGTATTACTTGTGCTGGGTTAGTGACTATTGAAACAAGAGGGTCGGCATAACAGCCAGGGAACTGGTGTTTGCCGAATACGAAATCTGCAAATGCCTACAAGTTTCTCTTTAGAAGGATTTCTTTTAAGCAATACAGCCTGGTCCAGGATTCTGCCTAGTACAATTAAAAAGCAGTAGAATGACATTCTAAGTCCTGGGTCCCCAAATACCAGTATGTGTAGGTTTTGATGAACACATCATCCACATATCATTGATAAACACATGTAGGTTTATATTTGATTTCTAGAAGCGTCTGCAGGTTTGTTTGCATCATTTTACTTGCCTGCCATAACACTAAAAAGGTTACACATACCAATACCTTAAGCAGTAACTACCACTAATGGTCGCTGGTCAAGTTTTTGCGTTCCCCCAAGCTTTGTGCAGTCCACCCCTGAAGATCAGAGTTGCATACAAGACTTTACCTAATACCCAACTGGTACAGGGAACTGCCCGGGAGGATGTTGCATGATTTAGTAATGACATGGTATCCTATAATTATTGAAAAAAAAAAATTGCTTGCACTTCTTTAAGTGCAATTTTGCTGTGGTAGGCAGCCTGTTGAGTTGTCATACGACAGCACACCACAACTGCAGCAATGTTGCAATGCAGAGGTGTGAATGAGGGCTTACAGTTTTACTGTGCGTGTGTGTGCGTGTTTCTCAGTATTCAGACATATTGTGCTGCTTGCAATAACTTTCAAGGCACTGGCATACTGTGCCTGGGCAGTACACAGGACGTTGACATCTCTCCAAGTTGAGAAGCACACTGAGGTGCTAACATTTGGCAATATACAATGATTAAACACTTTTAATGGGACACGTATCATCTTTTGTGCTTTTTAGCTCTGGTTTTGACTCAAATGCAGAGGTTATATTTGCATAGTGCTAAATTTGGTACAAATTTGTATAATTTTATTTTCCAGTAAAATAAAAAAAAGTTTTTATTGTTGCAGTTTTGGACCCATTGAATATAAAGGACCATTGACAGCAGCTTATATTGAGAAGTTTATCCGGCGAGTGATGAGTCCGGTTTTATATATTTCTTCTGTGCATAGACTAAAGGATTTTCTATCTACCTATGAGGTAAAGTGATTTTTAAATAACTGCTGTGATTTAAGCTGGCCATACACTGGTAGATTTTTGTATGAACATTAAAATTAAAAATCTGTCCGAACATTCGATAATACCATCAGAGACTTTGTTCGACATTGCATTCGATTTTTTGAGTTGAATGGAGTTTCCTGAATGAGAACCATATTCTCTGTTAGAATTTTACTCCCATTCTTCCCCTTGGATTTTCTTTTTCCTTACTATAGATGAAGACAATTGTTGGTTTGACCTCATTGCCTATCTGAAAATAGTTCTCAAAACAAATTCTACTCACAATTTGAATGTGATTCAGATTCATGTTTTATGCTGAGAGTATGCATGTGTAACAGGTATTTATTACATCTCGCAGAGATCGCATTACTCCCCTGACAATACCCTAATCTGCTTTTATCTCCAGATGGCACTATCTTCTTTTAGGCATTAGCCACTATCGGAAACTACTTGCTGGATGGAGTGCTGGCACTAAGATGACACAATTATGTAAATCATGGTGCCTGTACAGGTCTTGGATGTCTTGTTGCAAATGACAAAGATTGGAGCCCCTGCTGCTTCTCGTTTTAAGACTTGCTACAAAGTTACAGTGTTGCAGTCTGAATGATTACTGAAGAATGCTATAGCTGGGTACACTTGGAGTGAATTTCCCCCAGAATCGGCTACCCTATTCCTTCAGCAGAAGTCGATAGAAAATCTTCATTGGGAAATCTTCAACTGAACGGAGCTTGCAGCTAATCAGCTGCAAGGTCCGTTCGAGTATACAGATAGTGGCCGCCACCTGCTGTCAGAATACAATAGAAGCAGTAAGAGATTCATCCATCCACACTGTTCAGCACACTCCAACTAGCACACTAGCCTAAATGCCCAAAACATTGGCTGTGCTCAGTTGTCTGTCCTCTACTGTACAAGGGCTGGGTGATGGCAGGACAGAGCAGGAACAAATGTTCTTTAAATCTTAGAAATTCCCAATTTCAATGTAACATAAACCTGTTCTTGAAGAATTGAAGGTCCTGCCATTGCTGACTGGATGTTAGCTGAATCATTGGTTTCAATAATTATTTTAAAAGTCATTGACCCGAAGAAAAAAAAAAGTATGCCGATCAAGTAAGTCAGAAATCTTTGACTATATCCATGTTCCCAGTCAGGGACTCTTAAAGTGACACTAAATTCGGCAGTTAAACCTTCAATTCTGAATTGGTGCTGACATTGTCCTTCCTTCTGGAGGGTGGCTACTTTTGTTCCCCATGGTCCCTCCGTGTGTTGTAAAGTAGACACCACTCCAAGCTCGCATGGAGGATTTACAGCCGAGTGATACACAAATAAGATACTTTTTTGTTAATAGTTAAGGTACTTTTCTTTTAATGCATTTTTAAGATTTAACTTCTGTGTTTTAGTGTCACTTTAAGTATCAAAAGCGGAAGATCAGCATGGCAGCCAGAAAACTAACCTTGGAAAAAATTGTACTCTTATTGTTTTTGTTTGCACTATGAAATCACTGTTCTTGTTGCATTGTATGTGCTATACTTTCTTTTTTTGGCTTACAGTGGCTTGCAAAAGTGTTCACCCCCTTGGCATTTTCCCCTATTTTGTTGCATTACCACCTGGAATTAAAATTGATTTTTTTGGGGGGGTTTGTACCATTTGCGTGCCTACCACTTTGAAGTTGTAAAACAGTTGTAATTGTGATACAAACAAGAAGTAAGACAAAAAAAACAGAAAACTTGGAACGTGCAGCAATTACAGTTGCTAGTCTCTTGGGGTACATCTCTGTAAGCTTGGTACTTCTAGCCACTGGGATTTTTACCCATTCTTCAAGGCAAAACTGCTCCAGCTCCTTCAAGTTGGATAGGTTTCACTGGTGTACAGCAATCTTTAAGTAATGCCACAGATTCTCAATTGGATTAAGGTTTGGGCTTTGACTAGACCATTTCAAGACATTTAAATGTTTCCCCTTAAACCACTGGAGTGTTGCTTTAGCAGTATACTTAGGGTTATTGTCTGCTGGAAGGTAAACCTCTATCACAGTCTCAAATCTCAACTGAAACAGGTTTCCCTCAAGAATTTCCCTTTTTTTAGAGCCATCCATCATTCCTTCAGTTTGCCAGTGCCTGCCGATGGAAAAACATCCTTCCAGCACGATGCTGCCAGCACCATGCTTCACTGTGGTGTTCTGGATGCTGTTCTCGGGTTTGCACCAGACAGCATTTTCCTTAAAGGCCAAAAATCTAAATTTTAATCTCATCTGACCAGAGTACCTTCTTCCATATGTTTGGGGATTCTCCCACATGCCTTTTGGTCAACAGCAAACATGTTTTTCAGCAAACAATGTTTGTTTTTTTCCTGGCAACTCCTCCACGAAGGGCAGCTCTGTGTAATGTATAAGACTTAAAATGGTCCTATGGACAGATACTCCAATCTCCATTGTTGAGCGTTGCAGCTCCCTCAGGGTTATATTTGGTCTGTTTGTTGCTTTCCTTGTTTAATGCACTTCTTGCCTGGTCTGTGAGTTTTTGTGGGCGGCCCTCTCTTGGCAGGTTTATTGTGGTGCCATATTCTTTCCATTTTGCAATGCATTTTATTATTTCAATTGTAAACAATTGTGGCATAACTGTTTTTTGCATTCTTGGCTAATATACATATATTTTCTGTTTTTTATTCTTCCTTCCTGAAGCCTGGGATATTGGGTTACTTTGAGTTTAATGCGTCACCTCAACCTCCAGGCTATTTAACATTTTTCCGGTCTGCACTGCACTCATTACAGAAAGGTAGGTAGAACATCTACAGTCTAACATTGTAGTGTTGCTAGTTGTTTAGTTTTAAACTGAAAACAACCCTGTGAAAATGCATGACATTTTTAGATTTGTGATGTGTCTTAAATTTGCTTTTTGTGCATTTGTAATACTTTTGATCAGCAGTGGTGTTTCAGTGTGTTTGTTTTTGTGTGTGTCAACTTTTATTTATACTCTTGCTACTTAAATCTACAGTGAAAGGTCCCCTTAAATAGCTTCATCTCTCCCACCCTTTTAAACCCACAGAGGGAAGATTTGCAATTTACTGGGGAAACTACAACATATTCATAAAACCGTAGACACATTAATTATTCTCATTGGTTTTCTGTTTTATTGTAAACTGATCTGTGTCTTAAGTTGGCAGTCAGTTAAATAGCTCTGCATGTATTTTCATTGAGATTGACCATAAGGATTAAAAATGCAAGTGAGTTTCCTAACACCAGCATTTACTCATGCATGGACAGTATTGTAAAAGATCATTTGATTTTTTATTTCTCCAAGTGCTGTATTAGGACTGGGTAGTCAACCTTCTCCATCTGCTGTGTGGATATGTCATCCGTTCCAACCTTAAGGTACTGTTACAGCATTTATCCACACTCATACAGTGGGTGGTGAGGGTAATACCCATTTTTGTGCTATCCTCTTCCTTGCTAGGAAGATCTAGAGTTATTTTTAAATGTAAATAATTGCACGGATTAGAGTTTTTCCACTTTGAGGTAAGATGCCAAAAGGGGTATAACTGATTGGTTTCTCCCCGTTTTAAATGTTGGAATTGTGCAGCTAAGAAATCTAAAAAATCTAAGGTTTAGGTCAAAAATGCACTTAATTTTAGTGCCCAAAAACACAATATAATACCAATTTATTTATTTTTCTAAAATATAAAAGATAAGGTTATGACGAGTAAATAGATACCCAACATGCCCAGGTTAAAAATTGCATGCGTCGGTGAAACGGCACCAAAATATGGTACCCCAAATTATCCATAGGTGACGCTTTAAAAGCCCCTACAGGTTATCAGTTTAGAGATATGTGACCCATGTGGCGATACCTAATGTGTAATGCGATCGTCATTTTCATACGTAGGCACACCCAACGCATTTTTTACGTTAATATGCTCGCGGGTAGGACTTAACATTTTAATTTTTACATTTATTTAATTTTTTTTTACTTAATTGCTATCACATAGGAGGGCTTACAAGGGGTCAGTCAACTAGATCCGCACGGTCACCTTTCCACTCCAAATAAGCACAGATTGCCCCTGGAAGCGTCAGTTGCCAGAATCACTTCCAGTGTAAAGCCGACAGTCAGCTTTACATATGTAAACGGATCTATAGCCACCGGCAGCCTGTTATTAAAGGGGCCTGCTGCCAGCAACATATGGCATATGTCAGTGGCAGCGAAAGGATTAATGTCACTCCAGCACAGCGTAAAATAAGAACTGCTGGTCATTGCTTAGCTGCAAGGTATGAATGCTTGCATAGTATGCTGGATACTTCATAACCCTTGGGATTATTTAATTAAATGGTGCAGAACTAACATTATTGTGGTAAAGTGAGGCAAAAGGAATCAGAAAATGCTTTACTTTTGGGGTATATCATTTTTGAACAGAACATACAGTATACTGTAAATATTGTATAATCCGGTGTGGACAAATTAATATGGAATTTAGGAGCCAGTATGTCCAATCCAAGAGCAAAAATAATATATTTGTATGATCCAGCTTCAGTGACAACAACTAGGGGAAACCTCTAGTTAGGCACCGGCTATAAAATATTAAGGAGCATTAACTTGCTGCCGGGATTTGTCTGGCCCTGTAATAATACATTGTCCCTTTCTCTTAAATCTAAAAACTAAGAAAGAAAAAGTATTTCTTTTAGAATAGAGGGTGGAGACCTAAAAGTCATGTCAACTCCAGCATGTTAAGTATATAGCGTGTTGATCACAATGCACTAAATGTTTAGTAGCAGCATCTGTTTGTGTGCTGCACTGTAACTAGAAGCTCAGTTTGCTTTGATCATTAGCTCCTTTATGGATTATGCACGCATTTCCAGTCTTTCATGTTATTAAGTTACAGCAAGTGGATTATTTTAAATACCAGATTCCCATTTGGGATAATAAATGGCGAGTTGAAAATGTCAGTGGGTGGCTGTATGTTTCCATCATCTAAAGTTCAGGTCGTGATGTTCTCCTTGTGAAATAATCAGCAGATGTGAACTGCAGGGGGTGTGTTTTTAAGATCCAATTTTATTAAATGGGGAAAACTCAGACAATCAAAGACATAGTAAATGAAGTGGACGCATCAAACATTTAAAATAGAAATAAACTTTGTTAAATCCGCTTAATGCAACCATATTCTAAAAAAAAAACCCTTTCTTTTGTTGACATTTATAAGCAAAATGTTACAAAAGAGACCCTGCTATAAATAGCAACAACAATTTTTCTTTAGAATTATATGTCAAATGACCTTGTTTTGTGCATTTTAATCTCCCTGTAATTAATAATAATATAATATTAACCTGGAATGAGACTTCTGCTGGGTGCCCACCCCCAGGCACTGTAGAACTGTAATTTTATCTAATGACAGGGCAGAGAGGATGGCAATTGAAGTTCACACACAGCAGAGCACTGAATAATGGCAGCAGTGACAACTCCTCCACTCTGTACATATTAAAACCGACTCCTGTTGATTTACATTTGTGTGCAGCGACTCTGCAATAACTCTAGAAAAGAGTATGCAGAGTGACTGAAAATGAGCATCTTCTTTATATGCCAGCTTAGTATCATTACTTAAAATGCCAGTAGTCCCCATTAAGTTGTTAATGGAGCAATGTTCAATGTGGAGCTTGGTGATTGCTGCCGGTATTAGTGAGGAAACTTCCTATGTATGTCCCCACTGTCCGCAGCCACTCCCCCTTAGTGACATCGGAACAGGACGTACTGATTGCAAGGAAGCACTCATGCTGCAAATGTGCTAGTCAGTCCAGACTGCACATGTGCAGGCCAACCAGTGCTGCTACATATGTGTAAAGGAGTGGATGGACCCTTGGAGTTATAGCATCTGTCCCCTCAACAGTACGAGTTCCCATGCCGTCAGTACATCATGTGATGTCCAACACCCCCACAGATCGACTTAAATCCTTGTTCTTAACCACGAACTATATCTTCCTAACATCAGGAACTTCATTCTGAAACATGCCCTTTGATCCTTTCCCTTTGGGATGAAATCTTTACAACCTATAACAAGATCTTGGGTACATCTCTCAAACCTGATCTATGCATTACTTTATTATCCATTTTAACAGGGTAATTCAGATGTCTTAAAAAAATATCTTCTACGCCATATTCTCTCAGCACTCCCGTGCTGGGCAACACTGGCAAACAAATCATTCCATCTATGGCCTGTGGGCATGTGAGATGTATGGAATCCATGAAAGATCAGACTTTAAAAGGGGAAGAGATTGGAGAGATACACAATTGCTTGGTTCCAATGGAATCACTGTGGAGTTTTCATCATACATGTGACCGTCTATATCATTGAAGCTACTGCAGAGTGGAGGGCTGGTTACTTTTGAATTCCTTAATACTATAAAAGGAGGCACCTCTTCTTTTTTTTCCTTTTTCTCTCACTCTTTCTTTGTCATACTCTTCTATTTGGAATCTCTAGACCTAAGGGAAAAGTTATAGTTGTAAAAATATCATGTCTGTTATCCAATGTCCTATATGAAATGGTAGTCAGAACTTTGTATACCACAACTAGAAACCATATTTTTTTATTAGAATATTGGCAGACCATGTGACAATTTTAAAATACCATTGGACCTACATCCGAAACCCACTACATTTGGACCTTGATTGGAAACCCTTTACTTTCCACCATTAAAGGAGAATTATGGGGAGAATGAAATGCAGAATAATGCCCATAATTAGAGCCCATGTGTGACAGTGCAGCTGTCACACGTCAGCTCTATAGAGCTGATCTTCCCCCTGCAGAGAGAGGTGATCTTCAGTCACCGCTCCCCGCAGGGATTCCCTTCTCCGTTCCTCCAGCGCTGACTGCTGGCTGGGGTGGGCGGTCAGAGCTGTCTCTGTCTCTAGAGAGACAGAGCCAGTTGTTAACCAGATGTCGTGGAGCCCAACAATATTGTTGGCATCTTTCCCAGCCAAAGCGTGGCTCTGATAGCCCACTATATACTGAGTTTTGGGTCAGAGGAGGGCATATGTCATGCTGTGACTAAGGAGAACTATGGCAAAAACGTTGGGCCATAGTTCACTTTTAAGCGAACCCGTCTCTTTTTTGTAATATGATGCATCTTGTTTACCCATTTCATGTTTATATCATTCTCTGTATACTTGTGAAAATCAATAAACACTGATTATACATAAAAAATATGTTCAGTAATGTACTCCTACACATTATTTTCCGCTCTGGAAAAATGCTTTTAAAAGTCTTCCAGTGCTATTACCTCTCTTACTGTGGCTGATTCCCATTCAAAGTGTTAATCTTCTTTGTTTTCCTACCTGAGCTATGAAACGTTACGGTTTCATTATTGTAAGAGCATCCATTGATAGACTAGAAGTGCTTTTGTACCAAATTGTTGCTTGCAATGTTTCACAGTTGGGATTTTGAGCTCTGATTTACAAGTGCTGCATAATGAATTTTATTAAACTGAGAAATAATTGTGTAGAGCATTGAGATAAGAATTCTATATATAGCATGCAAGATCTTAGTTTCAGTATGAAGAGAAAGTGTGGTGTTCCACTAACCTTAAAATGCTTATTTCAATTTAAAATGATTTAGATGATTATGATAGTTGAGACTTGTATAAGTGGGCAGTAACTGATGCAATTTGGTAGACTTGTAGCTCAAAAACTTCTTCAATGTTAAAATGGGCCTAGCATCAGATCTATTTTTTCATGCTAAGCATATCTAAAGCCAAAAACCATAATGTCTTGTATTGCATCATACCAGTCCTTGGATGAGATGACTGCATTAGTTGACTGCATTAGTTTTCTTATTCTTTCTTTTATTTATTTTTTATTTTTTACAAGCCTTTTGTCTTTTATTTTAACCTTGTAATCCTGTGAATAACATACTTCCTGTCCCTGGGTTGCTAAGTTTACTCCTGCAGTGTATCTATTGATGGAGCCATGGTTGCCCCCTAGGTTGGACTACAATTATATCTGCCTTTTGTTCATCTCCAGTGCATGGTCAATGGGGACTTTAGTCATTTTCAGAAGAAAGATCACATGTTTTAGCTTCCAGTTAATTTCACAGGAAGTGACAAGAACACTGCATTTCCGACAAGGCAAAAACATTTCTGGCAATAGCAGAAGGTGTTTCCTTTACTTGCTGAAAATGTTCATAGTCTGGAAAAATGAAAAGTAATGCAATCACCACATGTGGGACTAGGACATTTTTTTCTTGGGTTTAGTTATGCTTTATATGCATGCTATTAATGTGCAAGACTAGGTTCACAGAGATCACTCTACTCCCCTGAAAATGCCTTCATCTGCTTTCCTTCCTCGAGAAGGCTGGAATCATCTTTCTTCAGGCATCTTCCAAAGTTGGTATCTATTTCCTGGACTTGGATGCCTGCACAGGGATGACACAATTATGTAAATACTGGTGCCTGTGTGGTTCTTGGCTGTGGTCACAAATGTCTGACAGATCAGCTTTTGCTGCAGCCTCTCAACTTGGGACATTTTAAAAAAGTTACAATGGTGCAATTTGATTACTGAGGGAGAGGAGACTGAAGAAAGATTTCAGATTTCCGCTAAACTTAAACACTTTAATGCGCATTGTTCAGACTTTTGCAGTGGCCCGCAAAATAGTCAAAGCGTGATTTTTGGATGGATTCTGCACGTTCGAGGCTATAGTAATAGCTGCAAACGAGTGGAATCAGTGCAGATGAAAGATTTTAGCGTTTGCGTGCTTTGCGGCAAACCCTATATGTGAATGGAGCCTCAAGCAGCGTATACACTGATCGATTTTTAGACACAATTTTATAGGAAAGATCTCTTTAGAACATTTGATAATGCCATAAGAGAATTGAGGAATGGTGTTCTACAATCTGGTTTCTTCATTCTTATAATAGAAGTATCCATTGCATACTATACTGTGAAATTTCAGTGGAATGCGCTTTCTGTGTAAACGTACATGCACACTGTTAATCACGACCTAATCTGACAGGACAGCAGATGCAGTATCCCTGTCAGAAAAATCAGTCATGCATATGTCTCTAAACTATGTCCTACGAAAAGTAATGTGATCAAACTTTCTTTTTAGATTACATTGAAAGCATTCGGTATGGGGTGGTCACTGATGGAAACCTTGCAAAGAAAATCTCCCTCACCAAACCCGGAAGTGTTTATTTGCACAGAAACCTAAATACTTCTTTAGTAAGTATTTAATATGAAATAACTTTTAATTCTGTTTCTCTGTAACGTGTAAAAAGTAATGTATAGAAAGCAGTTTTCTGATTATGGCAAACCGCATACATTGTCTTCACGGAACTGTTTTATTTTTTTATTTTTAACCAAGTTGAAGCTCTGGGGTGATTTGTTCACTAACATAAGCTATTTTGTGGTGAGTTATGCGTTGTCATGGCTACCATTTTACATTGGTTGTGCGGCGGTTTATTTTTCCCCCTAATTTTAGGCTCCCTACCGTCAGATGAATTTTGGTCCGATCAAATGTACTTTGTAAACTTTGCAAAGCATAACCTTGATTATTATTGCATTATATGCTTGAATTGTTCTCTGCCTATTACTTTCTGTTTTAAATGGGCCAGATATTCATCCTGTTGACATCATTGCTTTTCCATAATGTAATTTAATTTATGAAGAATGCTCATTACCGCTTTACTCCTATGTGTCCTCATACATAGAATAACTTCTATAGTCTTGAGCCCAAAAACAGCTAAGGGCTGCAAGTATTAGAGGCAATGAAAATGCCATGCTATTTGCATTGCAGCACAATGTAGGTGGGACCTGTCCATAATATGAGCCTGTCCAAAAACTTCTAGAGTTTCCACTGCACCAGAATATATTTGGGCTGTTGCAATAAAAAATTGAATGCAGTCTATAGGTGCCCATACACTGCACGATTCTCGTACGAGAATCGCGGGAAACCCCGCGATTGTACAAGAATCTAGCAGTGTGAATGAAGACGTGCGACCGTTTCTACTGTACGGTCGCACGTCTTTTGTCTAAGGAGCATGCTAGAAAAGCAGCCGAGAATCGTACGATTTTGGGCTGGTATTTAGCATGATCGTAAGATCAATGTCGCACGGCCGGTGTGCGCACGCGCACACTGCCCGTTCAGCATTGTGGCCATCGGAAGCCCGGCCCTCAGCGGGGCAGGCTTGCGATGATCGCAAGTACAATCTGCCTGTCCAAGATGGGCAGATCGTACGTTGTTTTAAATTACTTTACAACCATCGCAAGGTTTTGCGATAGTTGTAAGGTGTATGGCCACCTTAATGTATGCTGACAAATTGATCAGTCTTTTACTAACAAGGTGAGCGGAAATGGGTAATTTACATTACATACATAAAACAACACTCTGAAGCACTGCTGGCCAGCATTGGGATCCTAATTTAAACACTTATGAACCGTTTAAAAAGAAAAGCTTATTGTTGCAAAACGTTTTAAATATACACACAATCCATACCCCACTTTTATAGTGCATCTGTGAGTTTAATTCCTACTCAGATCTGTAAGAGAATCAACACTGGGAAGAAAAATAACAGTGAATGAATTGATAGCAAGCTTAAAAAGAGGTTTCCTGGGCAAGTCTGGATCTCTTATATTGCTGTATCTTTAAGGAGGTATGGGATAAAATCAGAGTTGGCTTGTAATTGGTGTATTCCTGACAGTACTTAAAGAATGAGTAGAACACAACCTTCAAATGGATTTTAATTTAAAAACTGGCAGGTGTATTTTTAAAGCCAATACTGATTTTTTCACATATATATATATCCCTAGGGATTAGGGAGGATTTTTTTTTTTTTCCTGTTGAAGCAAATTGGACCATAGTTCAGAAGGGTGATTTGCCTCCCTCTGGATCGACTACACATGCATGTGTATATACACTGAGTGGCCAGATTATTATGACCACCTGACGTTTGTAGGCAAATTAGCTATAAATTTGCGCTCAGGTTGCTAGAGGGCCAGACCATTATAAATAGGGAAGCAGGTTGTTTACCACGACACTAGAAGTGATTTTTTTTTTTTCTGAAGATATGGGTAAACAACGCGGTCTAACAGCCTTTGAACGTGGGAAGATTGTTGGCTCTCTGCTTCATCAGCTTCTTCAGGGGGGTCCTAGGTGACATTAGGGGTCTTGGAGACCCCCTGATGTCTCCATAAAGAGGACCTGTCACCTCTTTTGCTATCACATAAGGGGGTTTCTCAGCCCCCTCTGTGATAGCAATAAAGTTAAGTGAAAAAAAAAAAAAGAGTACAAAAATTTAAAGTTTCCCCCCCCACAATTTTTTTAAAGTTACACAAAAAAGAATAAAAAACAATTTTTTTTAAAAAGTCCCCACCCCTACATACACGCATGTAAACATGCGTCAGGTGCGCATACCTGCGAAAACGACGATTGCACCCATTACGCCGCACATGTTACATATCGCCGCGAACGTCGGAATGAGAGCAATAGTTCTAGGGCCATCAATCACTGATAACACTAAACTGATGAGCGGTAAAAGCTTTTAAAGCGTCGCCTATGGCCAATTTTGGGTATGCTAGTTTTTTGCGATTTTGCGAGTGCGCGCAATTTTTACGCTTGACATGTTTGGTGTCTATTTACCCGACGTGACCCCATCTTTTATATTTTACCAAAAAAGTGGGTAGTATTAGTTGTTTTATAGCATAATGAAAAAAAAAACGTTTTTTTCTCAAAATTTTCAGTAATTTCTCCTGAATATAGTAAAAAATAAAACCCGCAGTGGTGATTAAATACCACCAAAAGAAAGCTCTATCTGTCCCCAAAAAATGGTATAAAATTAATTTCAGTACAGCGTTGCGTGACGGAATAAATGTCAGTCAAAGTACCGCAGCGCTGAATACTGAAAAATGGCCTGGCCAGGTAGGGGATCTAAACACCTGGTCTTCAAGCAGTTAAAGATTGGACTGTCAGCTGAAAATCTGGGTCTGAACCTGCGAATTGTGGCAGTCAGCGACTAGTCAATGTTAGGGCAGAAAGGAGAGTGGCAAGACTGGTACAAGACAACAGAAGGGCAACAGTGCAGTGTCAGATTCCCCGCATCACGTTTCAACATCTCGTGGAGTCACGAGGCGGCCCAACGAAGTACTGATGGGGTGGTCATAATAATCTGGCCACTCAGTGTGTGTGTGTATATCTATATCTATACATATATCTATATCTATACATATATCTATACATATATCTATACATATATCTATACATATATCTATACATATATCTATACATATACATATATCTATACATACATGGCTCAAAATGTCAAGTCCTAAACTACTAGTGTTCTCCTTTAAGAGTTACTCGCCACCAGTCGCCCCACCTAACCCCTACCGTGCCCCGGCCTCAACTCCACCAGGTCAGTGGTGTGACACAGAACACCGTAGTAAGGACAGCTACAGTGTGGCACTGATTCTACTCCTTCAGCAGCAGCGATCGCCGTATCAGTTCTCTCTTCTCCTCATCAGCCGCTGCCGCTATAGAGCGACCGAGGAGCAGCAGTGTATTTGGGTTTCGTGCTGCCCTAGGCAAGACGAAACTCGGCACCCCCCCCCATCTAAATTTGTTCCACCCCTTCCTGTTCAAGACATTTTGCATAACCTGTCAAATCGCTGGATTCAGCTTCTGACAGATTGCGCTATTAGGCCTCATTCACACTGCTTAGAGTCGGCCCGTACAGATCCGTGGGACGTGCACGGACGTATCGGGCCGTTCCCGGGAAGGACGGGCTGCTGCGTGTGATTTGTACTCAGCAGCCTGTTCTTGCTGGAGCCTCCGCTGGCCGGGGCTGCGTCTCCCACGGTCCCATCTTCTGTGCCCCATGTCATCGTGTGCCGCCAAAGCTTCTTGGAGCGGCACCGCAGCCTCCGAACGGGCCGCTTCTCCCACGGCCCTGGCCACGCCTCCTCGTACACCCGGAAGCTGCCAGGCTCCATTAGCGGTGAGCTGCCGGGTGGAGGAGAAGAGTGGAGGGTGGAGGAGAAGAGAAAACAGACAGCGATCGCCGCTGTTACCCTAAGCAGCACTATGGGGAAAAGCCCTATCCCCATAGTTCTCTTTTAAGAGTTCCCTTCACTGGAACTAAGGAACCAAGCCCAATCCCTGAAAAACAACCCCAACCATAATCCCCCCTCCACCAAACTTTACACTTGGCACAATGCAGTCAGGCAAGTACTGTTCTCCTGGCAACCGCCAAACCCAGACACGTCCATCGGATTGCCAGAAGCGTGATTCGTCACTCTAGAGAACATGTCTCCACTTCTCTAGAGTCCAGTGGCAGCGTGTTTTACACCACTGCATCCCACTTGCTGATGTAAGGCTTGGGTGCAGCTGCTCGGCCATGGAAACCCATTCCATGACTCTCTCTACGCACTGTTGTTGTGCCAATCTGAAGGCCACACGAAGTTTGAAGGTCTGTAGTTACTGACTCTGCAGACTGTTAGCTACTTTTGCACATTGTGCACTTCAGCGTACGCTGACCCCGCTCTGTCATATTACGTGGCTGAGTTGCTGTTGTTCCCAGTTGCTTCCACTATGTTATAATACCATTAACAGTTGACCATGGAATATTTAGTAGCAAGGAAATGTCATGTAACACCTGCATCCAATGAGGGTGTCCCAATACTTTTGTCAATATAGTGTGTGTGTGTGTGTGTGTGTGTGTGTGTGTGTATATATCTCCTGATACCACTTTTTCAAGTACAAGTACTTCCCCTCATGCACTTGGCGATACTTTTTCTTAAAGAGACAGGTGACATTTTTTTTTTTAAAACAATGCAGACTTGTGATTTTAGGCCAAATTCTTTAATATTATGAAGAACTTTCATTTAAAAGACTGTTTTAAAACAATAAAAAATGTATTTGCTTTCACAAAGTTGTAAAACCAGAGCAAATGTAAAAGAACATGTTGTTTTTAAATTTAAAAAAATAAGGATATTAACATCAGTTTTACATTAACAGGCATTCATTCAATTATGCTTATTTATCAAATGTAAATGGCAGATTCTTTTTAAGAAACGGGAGAATCTCTGCATGTTCACATAGCAGGCGGTTTCTACTGTCGGTCAAAATGTGTGATGCTGCGCTGAACAATCTTTCACTCTCCACACTACTGCATGGAGCAGAAAGATATATATTTTTTGCCATTTGGGCCAGAGAGGGAAATCGCTGC